TTCAGCAGTCCGTTGGGATAGAGCTTCGTTCGTGCTGCCCACTTCATTTACTCAAGTGGAAAAGCGACCATAGGGAAGTGCATTTTAAATGCCAAGACAGCTGCGTGGCTAATCCGACAGACTAAACACTCGAGCAGTTGAATTCCAACATCAAGCAACAAAGTCAACCAAATGACAACAGCAATGGCAAACCGATGAACGATGGCGACGTGACGCTAAAATTGAATAAAAATATATAGGAGAGTATTCCAGGCAACGTCAACAGCAATTTCAACTAAAGTGCACGCAACGACAAACGGCACCAATACCAACAACAATAACGAGCTAAGAAGCTATCTTCGTCGGCGCCGAAGCGATATACCCTTCCCCTATGCCTTTGCAAAACAAAACTTTTTTCTCTATGGTCACAGGCTGCCATTCTGAAATATTTTGCTTCTGAAATATTTAATATTTATCAAGCAGCTCTTTGTACTTATTTAGCATTTCATCATTCATGCAAAATTCAATAAATACTATATGTATATGACTATGTACATACATATGTATTCAATAAATATTTTCAAATCGTATCATTTAAACTATTTGGATTATGGCTACTTATATTAAAAAAAATGTTTGTACCTATTTACAATCCTTACTTATATTACAAACTTACGCTCCAAAACCAATATGCCCTTAAACTTTTTAGGGTATAAAATATCAACAAAAGTAACAGCAGCACCAGCACCACCTCTGCCAAAGTTGATTGATAAAAAGTGTTTGACTGCGCGAGCAAAGTGCTGAGCAGGCAATGTAGACATGGAGAGTGTGTGAGAGAGAGAGAGAGAGAAGCACTAAAGCACTGAAGGGACGAGAGCCGAGAGGTACATATCGAGTTGCTGTTGCTTCTAATGTGACAGCTCAATGCAATTTAGTTGGCAATGGCAACACAAGTATCAGCAGCAGCAGCAATAATAACAACAACAATGCTTATTATATGCCACAGTAATTGAAAAAAGTATGGTCATCTAATTGTAAATTGAAGCAAACAAAGTTGAAATGATGTAATATTTATATATTTTAAAAAACTAAGTAATTTGCTATGATGTAACTATTTTTTCTTAAATCAACATAACAATGTTCTTCCTTCAGAACACATGAAAAATTGTGTCTACTTTATTTTTTTTAAATTGTTATTAGATAAAATTATAAAATAATGCTTATGAATTTAAAAAGAAAGAAAAAACCATCCCACGAAACTAAATTTTTTTTAAACGCGGTATACTTTATGTAATTAGGTTGTTATAAACTGTCAGTAGGAAAAAAATTTTAAGGCTTAATATAAGATTGTACATATTAATAATGCCTGCCATAAAAAGAAAATGAATAAGCCCTTGAATTTAGCATCCCACTCCACCCATTTAGAAATGTAATATTTCTCTTGTAATATCTTGGTTTTAGTAAAAAGAAGCAATTAAATAATCAATTTAAATTAATCAGTGAAAATAAAATTCCTCCATCGAGGCGGATTCTTTATTAAATTCTATTGTAGTTTTTAAAGCTTATTTTTACAACTTACCAGCTTGTTAGCTTTTCTTTGAAAATGCTTTTCTTTCACATCGTCATCTTTGATTGTTGGAACAAATAATACTTAAAATTAAAGAACCGCAAGCCGATCAGTTCTTCAAAATATTACACATACGACATGTGGGCAACCGCAGTAAGCCTTAGCACTGTTTCAATTTGTTTCAGAATTTAATATTACTTTGTTTCTGGGTAATAAGCTTTAGAGTTTTGCTTTTTGTTCGTACTTTTTGCACAAACTTTTATCAGGTAGTGTAACTCCACTGCACATTGCCAGCATGCACATAAACACTCGCACACTCACACACACACAGACTCGTACGCATTTTAAGGTAGCAAATTGACGAGACTGTGGAAAATCATAAAATAATAAGGAACCAGAACTGACATCTACAGCAGCAGGAGTGTTTTATAGATAAGCGGGGGCGAGGAGCAGGTGTGGCGAAGAGGTGTGTAAAGAGCGAAACAAAAACAGGCAACAAAACTGAAACTGTAACTGAAATGCTGCGCAAACAACTTTGAACGTCAATTTGTCAACTTGAAACGAAAATTGAATGTAAAGCTTTTGCGCCAAGACGTTGACAGCGAAAAACGGCAGCCGCGACGACGACGACGGCGCAGTCAGAGCCAATTTCAAATTCAATTTTAGCAGAGGGACTCTACCCGCAAAATCAACAGCATTTTGGTGGCTGCGATGCTTTCACCTGACAGGTAGGGTGGCCAGATGGGGCGGACAAACCCAACCAGTTCGCCATAAACCTTGATGCCGTTATCGTAGGTGCGGCACAGTCGACGTCGACGTAGCAGCGCTTGATAATGAGCTGTTAAGGTAAGAAGCTGAAGCCGACACGAAAGCTTCCGCAATGTAAAACAGCTGTGACAGGCAGCGCAGGCGACGCACGTAGACAGACAGGCAGAGAGAGTGACAGACGTTGAGAGAGAGGGAGAGAATGAAAAAGTGCAAGGCAATTATCAAAATGCAGCTTTGATAAGCAGTTTGCCGTTCACATGTGCATATAAGTATACATACATACATATGTATGTATGTACATATGTACATTAGTTGGTATTTGTGTCTGGGAGTTTTGGTGTGCGACAGCGAAATTTAACGAAATTTAAAGGTGCTTGCCAAAGTGGAGCACGTGTTGAGGACTCGCACAGAGCTCAGCAATTGTGTGGGAGAGAGAGCAAGAGAGCGCTAAAACTTTGCCGATGTATCGAGTCAACACAAAATGCAACAACAAAGACATCCCCTTTCCTACTCTGCTGCTGCCTACTAGGCAGTGCCTACGTGCGTATCCCACCGCAGCAGAGAGCCGAAAACCGAGAGCCACTTGATTAAAGAAAAACAACAACAACCAAATATGCCGCAAAATGCAATTTTATTTATGTATTTGTCGTTGGCTTTTTCAGCTGATTCGCGAAATTTGTTACTGTGTTTTGGGCTTATTGTTTTTTATTTCGTTTTGTTCAACTTAAGTCACAATAGCAGCAACGATAACAACTTCTCAAATCAGCAGCAACAACAATTATAGCTGTACTTGCCGCTTGCACAGTGGTACGAAATAAAAATTTAAGTTAAAATAATAGAGTAAATAAATAAGAACTCCATAGGGATTGTACAGAATTATGCTTAAACATCTTATTGTGTTTAAGTCGTATGTATAACAAACCTATATATGTATAACAATACCCTCCTCAACAGAAACCTGAAAAATTACAAAAGTATCAAACTTTGCTTACTTTGAAAAATACTTTGATTTCTTTCCCTAATTTAACACGCATATGCGTAATTATACACGCATACACTCGCATAGACAAAATTACTACGTAAGTGTGCACCCTTTAAATACTTTTACTATTTTTTAAATTTTCGTAATTTTTTTAAATTATTTTACACATAAGTATAGAGTATTTTAAATTCGGCACACCCAACTTAAGCTGCTCCACATGTTTGTTATTAAATTTATAAAATATATTCTAAAAATTTAGATTTTATATATATTATTATAAATGACAAAATTATATTCCGATTTATAATATTTAAGAAAAGCGTCTTTAAATGTTTGTTACTTATACGCAGTGTTGTAACGTGTAAACATCTAAACCTTTTTTTGATAAAAAAGTTTTGTTATAATGATCGGCTTCAAACATCTATATTTTATTAATAATACGCATATAAATATAAAAAAGATACCAAAATTTTGAATTCAAATCGTCCTTCCAAACAATTATTACTCATACGCAGTGTTGGTACATTTGAACATTATGTTTTTTAAACGATTTCATTAATTTTTCCAAAGACTTTAAAGTACATATTCTTATCTTTGAAACAATTAAATTTAATTCCTAATAGATTATGCTTTAAACCAACGTTTTGGAAAATAAAATATAAGAGTCCCGCACCATGAAATAAAAGCTAAGACTGCACAACACTGGCGCATAATTTGAAATGACGGAAATTGTATCAATCTCATAAACGACTATAACTTATTTCATTTTAAATCAATATCGATTATTGAATGTTTCTTTTCATCGTAACGCTGCCCAACTGTGCGTGATCATGCAACTTAAGTATGTTCGGCAAACTACCTATACAAGTACATGAATATCTACAAATGTTCATTCCTAATATGTATAGCATACTTATATAAGAAAATATATACATACATATGTATGTATGCACACACTACCCACAATCTGTGGCGTGTAAGAAATTGAAAAAGTGGGCATCTATATAGTTGTGTATACATACAAAGGTGTGTAATATATCCAGTGCTTGCTCGCTACTTGCTACACGAAAGCGGTTACATACACACATACAAAATTACACACACAAGGTTTTACATTTTGTTGGCAAAGTTCGCAGCATGCGCAGAGCGTATTAGGGTAACGTCATCGGCCCACTGTGCAACGTGTTGCCGTGGTGTGGACGGTAGCAACAGCAACAAAAACTGCTACGATCACGACACGAGCAAAAGCTGACAAACAAACAGAATAAAAACCTGCGAGTGAGTGAGCGAATGACGGTGGCAAAGGTGTGTGGCGTGGGGCAGGGCGGGGGGCTGGCGCGCGGGTGTCGCAAGCAGCGAGTGAGCGCAAAAGCAAGTGACGAACTTACGGCCAACAACAGTCAGCAGGCAGGCTGGCAAGCAGGCAGTAGCAGCAGCAACAACAACAACTGGCCGTTTGGAGCAGCGCGCATGCCACACACAGTTTAAATATGTGAAATTAGTACAAATCGTGATTTCAACAGTGAACGACGACGACGGCGGAGACGACGACGACGACGACGATCGACGACAACAACAGCAGCAGCAGCAGCAACAACAGCAACAACAACAAAAATAATAACAACACCACAACCACCACAGTCAACGGCAACCAGCAACAATACCAACAACAACAGCTACGACGACAAAACGAACGAGCAAACGAACGGCAAACGTGTGTACATCTACATATGTATGCATGTATGTGTCTATGTATATATGCATGTACATATGTGTGTGTGCGGATCGTAACGGCACGCAAAGTGGCCGCCAGACCAGGCCAGGCCGACGACAACATCCAACATACAGTGGCAACAAGCAACAACGTCGCACGTATTGCGGCAACAACAACATGCAATAAACAGCTGATAGCAGCAACAAATAGAAAAAGCCAACCACAGCAACAGCAGCAGTAGCAGCAACAACAACAAGGCGGTGTATTATCAAGCGAGCAACAACAGGTCTGAGCGAGCAGAGCGCGAAAAATCCCCCGCGTGTCGCTGCAACCACACTCACACACACATACGCAGAAGCACATTTATAGCGAGCGGCGCACACCTTTACGTTGATTTTGGACGACGTCGACCGAAGCAGCAACAGCAGCAGCAGCAGCAGCAACTACAACAACAGCGGCGACGTTTGCTCGCAAGCTCGTGCTCTCTCGCGTACTAAAAAGTGCAGCTCAGCTGCCGCCGCACTTGCCGCTGCGCGCTGCTGCTACTACGCTTCCTCTGCCACACACACAAAAACCGCGCCGTCGCCGCCGCCTCAGTCGAAAGTCAAAAGCAACGTGTTGTGGACGCTTTTTTTTACGTCGCGTTGCGTTGCCGTTGCGTTCGCCTTTTTGCGTGCTACCAACACCTCCTCCACCACCGCCACCACCACCTGCTTCACCATCACCAACGATCGCCAACATCGCTATAGCCTCTCCTGCACCACAAGAGGCGCGCGCGCGCGCTCGCTCTATCTATCTCTGTTTCTCTCTCTCTCTCTCTGTCTCTATACAATCGATTGTCCGTGCAGCAGGCGCAATCTGCAACGAATCTGTGGCAAACGTAGTGGCAACACCATCCACCCACCCACAAAAAAACTTTCACCATGTCCGTCGCTGCCGCGCAATATAAACTTGAATCCAACTCCAATGCCATTGCGCTCATAACTGACGCCGCTGCCGTCGCCGCCGCTGCTGCTGCTGCACAGCCGCCATCTCCAACCCCCTCGCCCGCCGATCGAATCGAATGGTCACGCGCTACCATTTTAAGCTTCATAGAGGACTATAGACGGCAGCGAGTACTCTGGGATCCCAACACCAAGGGCTACCACATCAAGCAAACCAAATACGAGGCCCTCAAGCTTCTAAGCCAGAAATATGGCACTGAAATACGCTCCATACGATCCAAGATCAAGTCGCTGCGTTCCTCGTTTCATCGGGAACACGGCAAGGTGCTCAATGGACGCAGTCGTGGCATTCACTATCAGCCCATGTGGTTTGCCTACGAGGCCATACGATTCATTTTGGATGGCGAACGTGATGGCGGCAGTTCCTCGCTGGATGCCGATGATGTCAAAGATTTTGCAAGTGAAGCAGCAGTCGCCGCAGCGGCAGCAGCAGCAGCAGAAGCAACAACAACACCAGCCACAACACCCACTGTGTCCACGGAAACGGCCGAGAAATTGGCGCTCATGCATAGTCTGGACCTGGAACAGCTGACAGGTGGCGGCGACGTCAAGCAACAGGTCAAAATCCATGCGCATCCTCCACCAACACCAACTGTGGATCAGCAACATGAGGAGTTTGCTGCCAGGGTTGCCGCAGCAGTTGCTGCTGTGGCGGCTGCAGCAGCAGCTGCCTCCGCCAATCACATGGATGCTGAGCCCGAGGCAGCGACGTCAAATGGTTGCGCGGGCAGCGGCAGCGCCAGCGGCGCCACTGTGACCGCCTCAGCTGCTGTGGTAAGCGTTGACTATTTATTGTTTTCACGTATTGTGAATATTTATTTTATACTCTTTTATAACATTGTTTTGTCGATATTCAACACCTAAAAAGAGGCGTTGTGGAGCCCTTAACAGTTCATATGCATGTATGTATGTATGTATTTACAGTATGTTTGTCTGTATGAACGCTTTTATCTTAAAACGTATAAAAACTAAATTCCCAACACACCATATGCAAGTTCTTTAAAACGCAATGAACTTCAAGATTATAGTAGATGAGAATTGCAATTACCAATGTACCTCCATAAAGTGTTTTCAAATTAAAACTACAGGTAGGCACATTAGAGCCTTGTTTATATTTGTCGGTCTGTATGATCGGTTTTATCTTTAAACGTATAAAAGCTATACTCACCACACTTTCGGATGCCAGAATTAGGTTTTGATTTCTCTTTTATTGCACTTCCATTATTTTTCACATTGAATTATCGTTCTTGAATCAATGAATTTCTACAGAGTATTTATTAGTCGGGAACGTGCGATTATAAAGTTCCGAATTTTTTTTATTATTATTATTCACTTGTTTGTTGTAGTCTCGCGGTCGCGCTTTGCATATGTGTGAGTGTGTTTGTGTGAGTGGTTTGACTTGTTTTGCGGCAGCAGCAATACACGCGTTGCTGTGGCGCTTTTTCTAGCGGTTTGTCATCTACGCACAGTGGGTCCAATACATAAAAATTTTGCAAACTTTTATCTTTTATACTAAATACCAAATACCGAACAATTTTACAATGAAGAGATCTGCTTTAAGCTTGAAAATGTTGAGTGAAGTCTAAGCTTCAGATTTTAGACTGATCTTAGTTAATTTTATTTTAAACGTCGAGAAGATTTTTTAAAATTGTATGGCTCAAACCATTTTTAATCATTGATTGCACTATTTTGGTATGTTCTTTTGAATGACTTGGTTAATTTTATCTCACTTTTTAAAGAACGTTTTTGAATTTTTTGTTTATTAATTTTTTATGAAGTTTATAAAATATCAGAATTCTTAAAACATTAACTTTAGTCAATAATTGCTAAATCATTTTTTTAAAAACAATACTTATTCATGCCTATAGCACCTACTATATTTACATAGGAGTATATCGAGTCACCAACTACTGCAATCGGTATAAAGTTTCAACTGCTATATTAGATGCTTCTCTATTGAGCTTTTCCCCCACTGTGCCTTGTCGTTGTTGCTATTGCGTCGTCCCCATGCGCTTGATAAGAATGTGTTGGTGTGTGTGCGTGTGTGCAGAGCTGTATGAGTGTGAAGCAGTGTGTGTGTCAACTGGCTATGATTTGCGCTGCTGCTGCTGTTGGTCCGCCATGTGTGTTGCATCAGCCATCGCTGCTGCCGTAGAAATCAGCAGTCAGCAGCCGCACGTTTGCGTCGCCCCTTGCCTGCGCTATACATCCACTCCCCTCACTACCCACTAACGCCCGTTACGCCCCCACACCCTAGCGAAGCAGCTTCAACAGCAAGTCCACTGTTTTTCCTGTGTTTGTTTTGTGTATATTCATTCGCTCGTTTCGTTTTTCTCTTCTTTTTTGTGGTCACTCTCTGCGTTGGTCCGTTCGCCACCGTCGCCCCTTCCCCTCTCCCAACAGCCGCTGGTCCACTTCAGCGCCGACCATACTACTTCGTTAGTCCCACCGCGCCAACTAATTTAATCGCCTCGAGCTGTTTCTGTGCGTGTGTATGTGTGTGTACGTTTGTGTGTTTTGTTTTTGTTCTGCTTGCTGTGAGTCTGCGACTCACATTTATTTATTTATTTATTTTTATTATTATTCTAATTTGCTCTTTTTTGTGATGTGCGCTTCGCTTATTACTACAGTTTTTTTTATTTTTATTATTTGTCTGACAAATTCTCCAAATTGCCATTGCCATTTAATTATTGTAGCCGTGGTTATTGGTTATTGTTGTTGCTTTGTATGTTTGTCTGTCTGCTGCTATTGTTGCTACCGCCGCCTGCTAATTTTTAACGATTTGTTTTTGTTCGCTCTTTTGCAGACACGTTCCTCTTCCGAATTGGATGGTGAGAATTATTGCAATATCAGTGCCGAAGATGTGAAAACAGAAATTGTAAGTACCACGCAAATCGATAATGATATTTTAATTGATACTGGGTTAATGACAGATATCGCTCCACAATTTCATGCACTGCATGTCAATAATAGAGCTTTAGCTTCATTATCAATAAATACTTACAAATGCATATGTCGGAGAAGGGTTGGATAATTCGCGCGGCGTGACGCGCTGTTCGGCCATTTTCTTTACGTGAGCACAGCAATTCGCACTGGTAGTGTTGCCTTTGACTTCTTGAAGCAGACTGACTTGCATCACTGCTCTCTCGAGGCTCGTTGTCTTACTCGTTCTACTCTTCCTTTTTGTTCTTTGACATTTCCTTTTCTCAACTGCCTAGACAACAACAATGCGCTTTGCTCGGCTAAGGCAATATTTGCTCTTAAACCCTGCTCTTATTATAGCCTGCAAGCCGATCACATGACACATTCTCTTTGTATTTGTTTTACACACAACATCATTTAATGATTTACATTTCTTTATTTAGTGTTATTCTTCTACACGGCCTTCCTGGCTCTTACACGTCCTCGTGTAGTATCTTATCATAATGAAATTAGCAAAACAAAACTTATTCAAATAAAACTTATTCGAACAAAACTTATTCAAACGTCGGCTTCATGCCTTGCTCAATATTTTTTTTTTTTTTTTTTTTTTTTTATTATACTATATATAGTCAATCAATTCAAGTATTGCGCTTCAATTTACCATAAGTTTATCGTTACTTCGTTTATTTAACACTTCTTTGCAAGATGTGTCTTCAAATGACGGTTTTGCAGGCATTCACACACATTTGCGGCTGTGCCAACCAGTAGCTCGTACTCTTCTGCGAAAACCCGAACATCTGGATATCTCTCTATCATACCACAACTCATGGACTCCACTTGCCCTTGCAACATGATCACTTTAAGTCACATGTTCTCTACCACGACAACCGCGCCGCACGCCATGATAGACACCCTCCGTCTACACTTGTGCCATCGGTATAACTTAGTGGTACGGGCGTGGTCCTTGTGTATGACAATACTACATCGTCACTGGTGGGAGCTTGGGCTTTGGCCAATGCCTTCTTCTGCATTACCACCCTCCACATCTTCCAACTCTGCAGTAACTTGACTATCTGGTAACGGTCGCAAATACTCATGGGCATACTTGTATGTCCTCTTACTTATCAAGGACTTTAATTTATATCGGTCACCATCAAGCACTTCAATCACGACAAACGGTCCCTTAAATTTGGGGTCAAGCTTTGTTTGGTGCCGCTCTTCACTTTTGAGCAAAACATGATCTCCAACCTTATGCTTAACAATCTTTGCCTTATTTTGATCAAATCTAGCTTTATCATAGTTAGCATTTTTTAACATATTTTCTTTGGCCTGCTTTCTTAAACAATCAACATCAACTTTTTCTTCATTTATCATTGGCACTAAGCCTAGTGGTCTAGCCTCTTTGCCTATCAATAATTCCAATGGACTAACTTTTGTTACTCGATTTGTCGTGCAATTTATGGCCAACTGTACTTCATCTAATGCTTCTTGCCAGGAACGCTCGCTCGTTTCAACTGCTGTCAGCATATTTTTCATAGTGCCCATTACGCGCTCTACCTGTCCATTCGCACGACTCGCTCCCGTAGCTATCAAATGTAAATTAACGTTTTGTGATGAACAAAATTCTCGAAAAGCGGCGCTGGCAAAGCTCCTACCCTGATCAGCAATAATACGCGTAGGCACGCCAAAAATGGATATTGCTGATTTGACCGCTTTTATACAACTTTCCGTGTCCAAATTTAATGTGTGATAAAAGTAAACAAATTTAGTAAATGCGTCTACTTGTACTATGACATACTCCTTCAAATCGTTTTTGCCACTTAGTTTGCCACTTATATCAATGTGTATTGTATGCCACGGTATTTCCACCTTGGGTATCGGATGCATTTCTGCCTGAATCTTGCCCGAGGATGACTTTGATACCTTGCACGTTATACAGTTTTCTACAAACCTACGCACATATTTTGACATATTCTCGAACCAATAGTAGGTGTATACCTTATCTAATGTTTTCTCCCAACCTAAATGCATTATGGCTTCGTGTACGTGATTTATTACGGACCACCTATATGCTCTTGGTACCACTGGCAAGCAGCGCGTTCTACCATTTCTTTGAATCTTTCTATGCAGTATACCAGATCTCATTTCATACGTTCTTGCCATGTCCTCATTAAGCTCATTATTGTGCAATTTAGAAATTAAAACAGACAAATCTGGATCTCGCTGTTGTTCAGCAATCAGCCAATTGTCAGTCAGCTCAGCCAAGTCTACACGTTTCTCAGTAATATTTTTGACGGTCTTTGCTTCAGCAGGGATAGGATTTCTTGAAAGAAAATCTGCATGCAACATGCGATTCCCTTTCCTGTATTCGACTGTGAAGTCGAATGATTGTAAATATGCCCACCATCTATGCACCCGTGGAGTTAAATCAATTTTGGAACGACTAGCCTTTAATGAGTTACAATCCGTATACACTATAAATTTCTTTCCATGAAGATAATGACGGAAATGTTTAACTGCATTAAATACGGCTAGCGTCTCCAACTCGTACGAGTGATACTTGGATTCCGTACTGGTTGTGCACTTGCTATAATACTCGACTACCCTTGTTTTGCCTTCTACTTTTTGCATAAGTATTGCTCCATAGCCTTCTGAGCTCGCATCAGTGTGCAGCTCTATGGGATACTGTGGATCAAAAATGATCAAAACCGGCTCGTTAGTTAATATGGTAATAATCTTTTGACGTATACACTCGTGTTCTGGCTTCCAATGGAAGCTACCATTCTTGGAGGTGAGGTGATATAGTGGCTTCATTTGCTCTGAAAATTGTGGCACAAATTGTCGAAAGTATGATGCCAAACCTATAAATTGCCTCAGCTGTGTAACTGATTGCGGTTGTGATAACGCTGCCAAGGCATGTATCTTCCGAGAATTAGGTTTAATTTGACCATCTTCGACTTGATAACCCAAATATTCAACATTAGGTTTGAGGAATGTGCATTTCTTTACATTGAAAGAAAATCCGGCGTTGGTCAGAAGTTCCAATACCACCTTTAATCTATGAAATGCCTCTTCTTTAGTGCCTGCTACAATCAAAACATCATCGATGTAAACAATGGCATACGAGTATGCCAGCTCACCCAAGGCACGTGTTATTGCTCGCTGAAATACCGATGAGGCGTTCTTTAACCCGAAGGGCATGGATAAGAATTCGTATTGACCCTCAGCTGTTACAAATGCCGTACGTTCAATTGAGTCAGCATGTATGGGAACCTGGTAAAATCCGCTAGCCATGTCTAAACTTGAAAAATATTTTCCTTCTCGCAGTCTGTTGATTTGATCCGATATCAACGGCAGTGGATATTTGTCTGCTATAGTATTGGCATTTAACTCTCGATAATCAATGCATAGGCGGTCACTGCCATCTTTCTTTTTAACTAGCAGCATCGGACTGGCAAACGGAGAACAGCTCGGACGTATTACATTAGCTTTTAACAGCTCTTTTATTTGTTTCCTCACTATTTCTCTCTCATCTGCGCTAAGTCTATATGGACGCCTTTGCACGATTTTGTTTGGATCTATCAAACGAATTTCTAGTTCACCTGTTGTTACACGACTCTTTGGTATGCCACTTATAAATCTTTCAGCATAATGTTGCCATATTTCTATCAATTTATTTCTGTCTTCATCACTTAATTCTTCATCATTATTTAAATGTTCTAGATAGCACCTATTTGTTGTATCTGAAACAATGTTGACAGCCTTTGTTTTATAAATACTGAACTTTTCAGCGTCCATGGCAACGCCGAAGCCAAGGCTCAAAATTTCACGACCAACCATTACATTGTGCTTTAAAAACTTATCCAATACTACATGAAATAATATTTCCAGAGTATGCTCACATATTTGAACAGTCGTATGAATTTGTAAATTACTATACACGGAATTTTCACCAATGCCTTTCAGCATAACTGTACTGAAAATTCTCTTTCCAGCAAATTTATTTGCCATTTTCTCTTTTATCAAAGAGCACTCGGCGCCCGAGTCAAAGAAGAATGGAATGAGCTCACCAAATTGCAACAATAGTCCCGTTGGTTCCATTACTGTGCAGACATCTACTCGCTTCTCTTGTATGTTGCTTTTGCTCGCTGCTTCTAGTCCCCGTGTGCACATCGTTGAAATGTGGCCAGTCTTGCCACATTTAAAACACGTCACTGCGCCTCGCTCTCTCGCTGTTGCTGAATTGCTTTGCATCTGGTTTGTTCTCGGTGCATTTCTCTCGTCCATTTTCCTCTTGCGGCATTCTGCCATTTTGTGTCCAGGTTTTTCACAATAATGGCATTTCATAATAGAAGACGACTTGTACCTTTTCTTCTCGGGGCCAGATGTGTGTTCCGAAGTGATTTGCACGTTGCGTTTACCAAAAGCGTATGCTTTCAACTGCTGCTGGAGCTCGCTTCGTGTTTTGATGTTCGTTGTAAACGCCATACGCTGCAGCCTCGTATCAATTTGCGAGGTATGTGCCAGCACGAACGAGACTGCTATTTCTTCTGCGCTCATTTGCTTCCATTTCGTCATTAGTGACGTCACCAATCTGCTTGCATACACCGATAGACACTCGTTTGCGTTCGGTCGGCCGTTAAGAATGTTTAAGAAAATGGCGGCTGGCGTCTCTATACCCTCGTATCGCTGCAGAAACAATTCCTTAAATTCAAGCCAGGTTATTCCAGCATAGCAAATCTGGGACAACCACTGCGATGCGCCTCCATTTAGGGAGCTGCTAAGTGCGATGACCAATGCACTACCTTCTAAGGGATTTTCGGACATTATCATGTCTGCTGTTTTACACCATGCAGACGCGTCCGCGCTCGTGTCGTCAGGGTCGAACTTTGGCAACACAATTATTTTTTCTTTATGAGACTCTGCATATGGCACTTGCATAACTTTTATCAATTCCATAAAATTACGATTCTGTGACTCAAACAGAGTTCGCCAATCATTGTCAGAATGTCTTTGGGGCGAGGCCGATCCCACTTCTGATGTCGGAGAAGGGTTGGATAATTCGCGCGGCGTGACGCGCTGTTCGGCCATTTTCTTTACGTGAGCACAGCAATTCGCACTGGTAGTGTTGCCTTTGACTTCTTGAAGCAGACTGACTTGCATCACTGCTCTCTCGAGGCTCGTTGTCTTACTCGTTCTACTCTTCCTTTTTGTTCTTTGACATTTCCTTTTCTCAACTGCCTAGACAACAACAATGCGCTTTGCTCGGCTAAGGCAATATTTGCTCTTAAACCCTGCTCTTATTATAGCCTGCAAGCCGATCACATGACACATTCTCTTTGTATTTGTTTTACACACAACATCATTTAATGATTTACATTTCTTTATTTAGTGTTATTCTTCTACACATACATATGTACATACATACATACTTGTATGTACATACATACATACATATTTATGTATTAGTTTATTTGCGCAATGTATGATAAATTGCCGCTCCAGATGTTATACATATTTGCTCGATTAAAAGAGCATTATGTACATTCTACATATAGATATACATATGCATACATACATACTTGTATGTATGTACATAGATATGTTAGCAATGTTTATATGTAAACAAATACATAACTTACATTTGAAACAGCGAAAGGAAATAACAAATTTCGAGCAAATATTAATTGAGTGGCGATCAATTTATGAGCTTTAAATAATTCGTCGGCATTTAAAAGTATTTCTCGACAAATTTTGTTATACTAGTATATTTTTTATGAAATTCAAGAAATTTGTATGCAAATAATTTGCCAATCTAAAGTGTTCCCTTTTAAAATATGTATTTATTATTCATTCGGTTTGAATCAGAACTGGCTGGTTATCATACAATTGCTTTGGCTTTGATTTACGGGTTTTTCCAATTATTGGTTATTATTATATTTATAGTCCACTAAGTATACAGTTTTAAAGAACCTTGTTTTTATTTTCTTTCAAAATTCGACTCTCATTGTTTTTCTCATAAATGCCTGAAAGTTCCTTCAGATAATATTTTTTCACAAATACAAGAATGTCACATATTTGGAACTTCAATTGCAATTTTGGTAGCATAAGTTCAGGTTTCCCAAATACTTAGTTATACAAATTGTTATTTATGTGCAAAGGTAACGTTTCTAGGTCTTATTTTTTTTTTTTTTTTTGCTGAATGCCTTAAACGCAACTTTATTTTTTTCCCACATTTTTTCCTTGGGGGCTTTCCTGTTTTCACCACAGAAATTGACTTGAAAATACAATTCTTAATTAATATTATATGTATTTTCATAATTAATTTGTATAATAAAGAAAAAACTTCAGTTTCTGCCATATTGCCAAAATGCTTAGCTTTTTCTGCTCAAATATTTGTATTATACAGCCATCTGGTTTTTACTTGTAAAAATTGTTTGTATCTAATAATATCACACCTGTGCTGTCAATACCCTTCTAAAGGTCACCTCTCTAAAATCGGCCCAAGAAATTAGCATGCATATTCAAAATTGAAATATTCAGAAAATATTTCGTATGCCTATATTTTTAAACAAAAGAATGCGAATAGACGTGATTCATATGTGATTTGCATTTGACAGGCGATAAGACCACTGACTAATACTAAGTATTTACATAATTTGTTTATAAAGAGGGATCTTTAGCAGTTTACAAATATTTAGAAAAACTGAAAGTGGAAAGTGTAGGAAAATAGTGAGTGCTTCAGCGACTCATATTTTATTCAGTTTAAGTACTATATACTGAAAATAAATAACATGATGTGAACTATTTTAAAGACTAATGGCACTTCGAAATGATGTCATAAACTATAAATTTCGCCATTGCTTGTTGGCCTTTAAAACCTGGCACGCGCCAAATTCAAAAACTGCCATCAATTTATGACTTGTTGGGAATTTAACATTCAAAGCCAACATGCAAAGGAAATGTTAACAACTCGCATAGATTTAAAATAATTTTCTCCATATTTAAACACTGATAATCAAGACTTATTCAGAGATTGTCCTTATGATGTTGTTTGAAAGAATTTTTCTCAATTTTGTGCTGGTCTATTGTAATTGAAAAACGTTATAAATAGTACGCATATTTTACATATTTTGATATTTATTTTAAAAACCTGATAGAAGTTTCTATGATAGATCTTTAAACATTCTCTATCGAAAAGAGTTTGCAGTGCGAAGTGGGGATTAAATAAAACATCTCAGTGTTACAAGTTGTAACAGATCTCATAATTAACAAAAAATTTGCAAATAAGGATAAAAAGCAACTTTTACTGATGATAATATGGCGTCAAATAATAATTATAAGATTTAAATTTAAAACAGAGACATAATTTCATTTCTACATACATTTGCCGGAGAAAGAGCAATTTAGCCAGACATTACAGTATTTTGTAGAATGGTTGGTCCAGAAAGAGAAAAATAAGAACTGCTGCACGGTTTCTAAATCTTTTTGCGGCAGAAATCATTGTGGGAGACATGCCCCAGAACTTCTATCACTATCTGGATTCTGTTGCTGCCAAAGCATAGTAGCTTGTATATTCACTAGGGATTTTGTCGTGACATCATTCTTAGTTGCTAAATTCTAAAAATTTGTATGAAAAGTAGCATTATTTGATAGTCATAAATGATTCATTCCATCTGCAAAAATGTTAGTCTCCAGTATTTTTCTACTTTCAGAAAAATATAAAAACTTTTACAAGATATCCACATTTTATCCACATACTTTTCTCGATTACTAACTACCACATTTGTTGGGCACATTAGGGAATTGTTTTTCCTAACACATTTAGTATAGGAATACATATTCTAATTTCGTTTGTTAGTAGAATATTCCTCTTCTTCCACATATTGCTCGAAGCATTTATTTAAATTAAAAATTAAAACTCTAACTAACTTGTGTATGCAATCAACTTTTTCTATTCCCCAATCGCCTTTGCTTCGCCGTATCGATTCTTAATTTTGTAGATCGAGCACGACACAGTCGAGCTGAGCATGCTCGAGCGCCCCAGCAGCACGCCATCGCCCATAAATTACTATAAGCCAACCGATCTGACCTATAATCATCGAAAGCGCAAAGCGCAACTGGATGAGAATGGCAGCAGCGATGAGGGGGGCGATGGGGGCAGCGGTGGTGGTGGTTGTGGTGTCGGTGTTGGTGTCGGCGGCATCGGTGGCATTGTCGGGGAGTGTGTAGTTGGGGCACTGACACTAACGCCGATAAAACAGTCCCAGCTACAACAACAACAACAGCACCAGCAGCAGCAACAACAACACCAGCAGACACAGCAACAGATGAACCACAATCAACTCGCATTACATGCTTTGCAGCAGCATTTTAACCACAATAGCCACAGCCACAGCAATGGCCAGAATCACGCCCAGCAATCACACCACCTCCACCTAAACCACCACCACCAGCAACACCAACAACACCAACAACAACAACATTCCAACATGCCACAAAAACGTGATCGTGATCGAGATCTCTCGCCGGCTGCTGCCCACAGCAACAGCAGCAGCAGCAACAACAACAACAACAATAGCCACCACATCAATAATAATAATAATAATAACAACAACAATAGCAGCAGCAGCAACAACAACAACATCAATCATTCGTCCTTATCCACGGGATCGGGCAGCAGCAGCGGAAACTCAACACTGGCCATCAGCTCGTCGAGCATTGCCAATAAGTCCATCGGTTCGAATGCGAATGGTGGCAGCCATCATGTGGATGAGTATGGGGTCTTTGGTGAATATGTGGCCATAACTATACGCAAACTGAAAACGTCCAAGTCGAAGATTGTCGTCAAGCACTTGATCAACAATTTGCTATATGAGGCAGAGCTCGGCAAATACGACCAAGGTATGCCGGCATCCAAGGAGCCACCGCAACTATATAAGATGCATTAAAAACAAAATTGGGGGGTTTTCGGGGGTTAGTTAGGGATGGGGAGGGGCGGCCTGTAGTTAAATAAATCATATATTAAAGAGAGGAGGAGATGACAAATAAGATGAGGAAGAGGGGATTATTCACCGCACTAGTCAGCAAAGCAACAAGAAAAACAACAACAACAACAACAAGCTAAACACAATTCTAAGGCGGACGCTAACGCATTTCATTCAGGGACAAAGACCATATAAGTACTTTAAATACAATATACATACATACATACATACTAACATATATAAACATACAAGTACATACACTGCACACATATGTATATGTAGGTATGTACTATGTATATAAAAGAGTCAATTTATCAACTGATTTATCACTGATAGCAGTGCTTCAGTGAGTCAATCAGTAAGTCAATTGTATTAATCAGTCAATCCACGGGCAGAAAACAATAACAAAGCGAGAAGCGAAATGTTAAATTAAAATAATGAAAGCGAAAAAATAACATACCATTAATTATCAAATGAATTAAGTTTTTAATGTATTACGTTTATTATTATTATTATTATTATTTTGTATTTTTTGGCATGCGTATTAAATAGAAATCCATACGCATGCCATACTTTTTTCATTTCTTTATTTTCATTTCGAGTTTTTGTTAAGTTCTTTAATTTTTACACTCGGCAATAACACTTTGAACTCAGGTGCCTTTTGTTAGTCAATTAAGCGTTGTTATATTATGCATAAATTGGATTGAAATAAATAAATAATTGCCCGCGTTAGAGCAGCAACAACTACAACAAAACATTATAAATAATAATTATTGATAAATAAAATGTGTAAACTCTAAACTGTACATGTAAATTCTTTAAATACCTACTATAATATATAACGTTTTTGTATATACATATGTTTAGATATATATCTAGTATGAAGAGAAAACAATATTAAACATTTATTTTTGTTACTGAAACTATTTTTGAATTTTGAAAAGAAAACTAATAAACATGTTGAATTATTTAGTTTTAAAATATGTGCGAGTGTGTTGATAATTTTTGGCGAGAATAATTAAAGGTAACTTTTGAAGTCGATGATAACATGGAAATCGAGTCCCATTGAACGGAAAATTTGTTCATATGAAAGGAATATGACGCTAAGTAGATTTGGAATTCAAATGTTTCGGTCTCAACCAGAACATTACTACTCGAATTAAACTGTGCTCAGCAGTACAAATGTTCTGAAATGTTAAGGTTCGAGTGTGAAATGTATTCGGCGTGGCGTTGCCAGACTTTTGGTCTATGAGCTACGAGATTTAAAGTTTCTGAAGGATTTTCCTAAAATGGTTTTCAATTGATTTGCATACATTGATTATTAATATTTTTTATGGTATGTTTTTTTAATTTCGTTGTTTCTTCTTGATACTAAAATAAAAAATTAGTTCATGTAAATGTGGCAGCGCTACATCACAAATTGAAAACCATTTTAGGAAAATCCTTCAGAATCTTTAAATCTACCTCAAAAATTTATCATAGCTGATCTATTGGTTGGAAAACTTTTGAAATTCTGATGATATAAAAGAAATACTAGTAATCAACGTCGACATATTTTAAATGAATAACATTTTAATTAGTCTTTTAATTAGTCTTCAATTGAAGTCTAAATATTTTTTCTTCTGCCAAAAAAAATATAATAAACATCGAAAAGTCTTCATATAGGAGAGAAAGGTTAAAAAGTCATTGAAAAATAATATTGAACATAATTAGGCAGTTTTATAACTTAAAAAAAAAAATTGGATAAAGTTGTGGCTAATACAATTATTCTCACAAATTCCCCATAGACGCAACACTGCGTATGAGTAATGTGGATGTTGTCTAAATGTATTAAGTATCCGCTTGTTTTCATTAGCTATTTCAATGCGAGCATGCAAATTTTGAACTTCTATCAACACATTTGTTCTACTTCTTGAAACTCAAATAACAATAAACCAACAACAATTCCACAAATTTTCAGGGTCACGACGCCAAGTAAGTATTCCCAGGGTAATTAAATCTAAAATTAAAAATAAGTAAACCGATTGTAATAAATACATTAAAACATGAACAACACATTTATTTATGTGTACATTTAATCGTAAATTATATGAAAACAATGATTCTCATTTTTTAAAGCCATTTGCTTATCGAAATGGGCTGATTGTAGGACTGCGTCGTATAACAATAACAATTCCTTATACACTAAAGAATAATAGATGCATTGTTAGGTTTTCGAGTATAAGTAAAAGTCTACAAAAACACACAATCAGGGAGTGTCAAAGAACTTTAAGGAGTGTTTTAGTAATCAATATTAATCGGATAAATTTGTGATATAATGGTCTGTTCTTTTTATAAACATTTATATTCGAATAAATAAGTGAAATAGAAAGCTATTCTTACTTGCAAGGAATTTGTAAACATATCCACCAAGAATAATCTTAATATGTAATTAATAATTATTCAGATTACAGCTTGATTTTTAATTGTTATTTATTACATTTATTATTATTTCGGTCAGAGAAATTATAATCTTGAGAAAAATACTATTGAGTATAAATACTTTGAAATACACAAGAATACTATATAAAAAAAAAATTGTGCACCAACCTAATATTTGTTTTTGACAAGGTCAGGATTAAAAAATTGTTGTTGAACATGAATAAAATGCCAAAAGAAAAAACTAAGCTAACTTGATTCTGGCATATGTATAATGAGGAAAGCAAACAGCCTTGAAACTTTATGGAATATGAAAAAAGATTTTTGTTAACAGTTAAATGAAATTGGACATTATATTGAAACAATACTTACACATGAAATTAATAATGAAACATGTATAACAGGGCTTGGTGTGGGCAAATAATCCAAAACTTTAACATATCTTGTTGATTTTGAAATATGGATATGTTGAGAGCATATCTTTCTTCCAGCTATCAAGAATGAACATGAACCAGGTAAGAAAACTGTGTAACTTGTGAGTTGGCTGAATTATTTCAGGAAAAGAAAGTGAGCAAGAAATCTCAACCTTCTTTAACATTTTCGTATCTACACGTACAGGAAAATCTACAAGACAATAATACTCTCTATTGCAGGGACATTTGATTTCAACACTTGAAGAAACTCTATTCCGATAATGTCTGTTTGGCAAAAAGCTGGCAAGATAAGTAGGAATACGAAAATATCATGAATATTCGCCCTAAATATTCTCCAAATATTTGTCAATGCATGTCTTTCGATCTGGCTACCAATATCTTTCGTTATCTACCATCCACTGTGTTTTTAAATAATATATTCTTATAAAATAGTATACTGCCGAACCCCAAATTAAATCGTCTTCAGTAAACTCATTTTAAAATATGTAATGAATTAATTAAATGGAAATTTCTTTTTTTATTTGTCATTGGTAAAGTGTAGAAACCAAACGAGTTGATATATAATTTGAGAGACATCTATCGTGTAGACCTCCAAGTGAAGTCATCTAACGTTCAGGTATCTCACGAATAGTCATCTAATCTCTACAGATCTACACATCTAAAGTGTAGCGTCTCACTTATAGACATCAACCGCGTAGGCATTCCACAAATTTCACGTGTAAACATCTAATATATATCCATCGCACGGGTAATCGTCTAATTTTTACCCATCTAGGGAATAGATATTTAAAGAGTAGACATCTAATCTGTAGACATCTTGCGTAGCATATGAAGTTATGTAAAAGAACTGCCTTCTAAAAAAGCTATTGTTCCTATCGGCTTAAATGTCTGGACGTTCCAATGGACTTTGATGTATTGGTAGTATCTAGACAAAGTCTTTAACGAATTTTATTTGCACCCATGTTGTTATCGGAACCCTTGCTACATAACCTTGTCGCAATTAGTCGATCGATATGCTCAAATATAAGTATGTGCAAGCAGCAGTGCGAACATATGTAGTTTTAGAGGCATATACGTACATACATATTATAGACTGTATATACATATGTCTATATAGATATCTACGAGTAGTTCTGTTTACTGGCGATAGAAAAACAAACGTCGCGCATTGTGCACAAATACACACGCGACTCTATTCGTAGAATTCGGTGCGTTTTTCCTCGAAGTGGCGAGAAACGTGCTTCGCCGGGCGTTCGATCGTCTGGTTCTGGGACTGAGACTGAGACTGAGACTGTGGACGGGGCTGGGGCTGGGTCTCTGGGTCTCTTGCTGGGGTCTGTTGTGGTGCTGGTGTTGGTGCTGGCGCTGTAAATGACGCAATTGCTGAAACATCAACACCACTGTGGTTGTTATTTTGTTTTGTTCGTTTCGTTTCGTTTCACTTTGCTAAAACCAACAACAACTACAAAAGTAATGATAAATTCTGCCAGCACTATGGCTGTGGACTGACTGACGGATAGACTGATAGACTGAGTGACGGACTGTTGAGAGACTTCAACTCGACTCATGTCAACAATCAACAGTTTGCCATAAATTATTTTTGCAAAAGCTCATGCTTTATGCCACCCCAGGGATCGGGGTCTGTGGCCCAATGGGGAGCGGACAAACGGCCGGCAAGACAGACGGACAGGCAGGCAGATAGGCGGACAAACAGACCGACCGGCTAAGTGACCCTGCACGAGTATCTGTATCTGTAACTCTATGCGAGTGTGTGGCGCATTTGCTGTTTGCCACACTGATAAGCGAAGCGTTTGCAGAGATCTGTCTATATAAATAATATATATATGTTTATATATATAGTGTGTGGGTATGTACATACATATGTTATATACGAGTGTACTCGCAATCGCACTCGTACTCATTGCTAATGGCACATGTGTGTCGCGCCATGTGGCAATCACATTGGGCAACTTAACCAGACATTTGCTTAAGAATAATACAAGTAATACCAGCAATAACAAGAGAAACAACACCAACACCATTAACAAGACAAAATAGGAATATCTCGGGCTGTCGTTCCAATTGTCACATGCTAAGTTATTGGGTAAGGTTGGAAAGT